GTGTAAAAGCACCAGTCACTTCACTGTACATATCTGAAGCAGATAAAACTATGTGGAATACTTTAAAAAAAAAATCTCTAAAATTTCCAGAGCACGACAGAGATTCCCTGTGTTGTGTTGTGCTACGGTTTCACTTGGAGGATCTTTATTCAAGGCCACAAGTACCACGAGCGGCTAGTTCTTTCTTTTTACAGAAGCGTTTCAGTTTTCCTGTTTTTCAATTAACCCAGCAGCCCATGTCATTACGTAATCCATATACATAAAGATGATGTGAGCACACTTTAATCTGCATACACACTACAGTAATTAAGGAGTTGAAACAGCCTATGGGGAGCCCCATGCCAAGTATGAAGAAATTGCCTAATAGTCAATAGCTTCTAAGAGAACTGAAAGGTGCTTGAGAGACATTTGATTTCCCATGGTGTATATAAATAATTATTTTGTTCCTCTGTCACCTTAGCTCAAACAGGTTTTGAGGGCTTTTGAAACAATGCAACCCCCCCCCCCCCAAAAAAAACCTGTTTCTCAGAGGAGGAGAGAGGTTGAGCAGACACATCACAATTGGTGGTCCCTCTTGGAAATCGACCCCAACTCTCTCTTTTGTGTGTGAGAGTTTTGGTTGATGCTGGAAGCTGGTGACACAGAGGCATGTCTTGCTCTTTGCTGGTCCCAAGAGCTGTGGTTTGGGGGCTTCCTTGAAAGCCTCAAGAGGAAGCAAGACTTGTGGAGTGTTAATGCTGTGAACCCCTCCATCTTTTGCTCAGGTTGTGTATACATGTAAATAAAACCCTATATGTTAAAGACTCCACAGTCTCCGTTGACTTTCATTTCAAGGAAACCAAACCCTAGGAAAAGCATTTGGAACCACTGTAGTCTCTCACCACTTTGAGACTGTGTTACATGCGACAGTACGTTTCTCCTTCCCTGCCATACCAAATGCCACCCCAAACCTAACAGACCCATATTTGAGTGCCTGCTAATTCTTCCCACATTCCTTCTCCTGATTATGGGCAGACTCCATGGCTCCGACTTCCCCACAGGCCCGATTTTGTTTACCACCTCATCTAGTCCAATGAAAAGTCCTGAAGGACTCAAATGCTCACACACTATTTGGGGACATTTTGGCTGGTCTAATCAAGGCATTGCCCTAATGTAGATTTTGGAAGAAAAACTAGGTTTGACTTTCTTGTCTGCAGCATTCCGAGGAGGCGTGATTAAGAACTTCATTAGGGCCAAGCATTAGCATCCTTGGGTGAGGTCTGGCTAAGCCTTAATGCATATTTATGACGCCGATTAGGAGGGCTACTGCTTGAAACAATTTAGCAGCATCTGCTAAGGATCTTACTGTTTTCCTGGGCTGTTGGCAATCACAACAACATTGCAGAAGTGTTTGCAAACCTGTGAGACAGTTACGCTATTAGAATGATAAATGGGGAGCTTTGCATGGGAATAATGAGACTGCGCTCCTGAAGCGTAGCAACAACACTGCTGCTTCTGGGGTAAGTACAGCACCGAGGGCTTAAAGGGCAAGGATGCAAGAAAGGCCTTCAGGCAATGGCACTTCTGGGACTAATTACATGCTCAGTACCAGGCCATATACCCCACTGCACCATCATCATTTCCTTCTGCCCAAAATATTAAAACTTTCCCCAGGCAGCTAGCAGCCTTAAAGCTCCAGTCCCATGCTCCATTCCCCAGGTTCAGCACTTCTGAGAGGAAAAATCAATTTGTCGGATTCTGTAACTTCTCATTTAAAGCAAATTTGTTCAAACTCTTCTGAAGAAGATTTGATTGGAAAGATCTATTAAAAAGGAAAAAAAGGAAAATCTAGAGAGATGATTCTCAAAATTGGGCTATATAAAGCAAGCTGATCAACTTCCTTCTAGGACAGTATCTTGGACAGATTAGATAGAAAAATCTACGTGAGGGCATGGGGAAATCAAACAGCTGTATTAAGGTCTGGAAAGCAATCTATTTCACAGTAAGAACATAATTTTGGAGCAGAGAGTAATTCCTTGGAGTAACAGAAAGGTAGGAAACATGAAAGGAACAGGAGAACATTTGATTGTCCCAAGACCAGAGCACAGTAGCCATGCTAGTCTGAGCCAATGCACTAGAGTTCCTCAAACAAACCTTTCAACTCAACCAGTCCATATAGGTCTCTAAATCAGCTACCTTCTATCGATGCAAAGCTATTGCTGGCCAATACGAGAGCTAAACTAGAGATGACCCTGGACACATCCTTTGATTTGACATTAATTTTAACTGACAGTAGCTGCTCCTTCAAAATAAGTGCAATAAGACCTGCACCAGCAGCTGGAAGTGCCAGGGGGCTGGGACTTGCCATCATTGCTTTCCTCAGTATTTTCCTTTTGCTGTTGTTGGCCTCCCCTGGCCTCCCCTGTTCCTCCAACTTGGGACACCATTTTGGGAGGTTACTGAAACCTGCACAGAACTACAAGACCTTTTTTGTTCACGCTTCTGGTTTTCAAAACAAGTTGCCAGGAGGAAAAGCTTTGCCAAGTCCCTCTTCGTAATCGGTAGGAGCTCTTGGCTTGCCAAACATATTTCCACGCAGAATAAGTCCCTAAAAGCTCTATCCTATCACCTTTGTTTGGGTGTTCAAGACTAAGTTGCCTTATTTAAATATTAAATCTGCAAGAGTTGGAACAATGAAAGGACAATGTTTTGGCACCACCTTCAACTTGCTGGCTTAAGCAAGCTGACTGTACTCAAGCAGTTGTCGTCATTTTTTATCCCATTTTACAAGGACACAGACTTTCACCCTCCCTGTTGAGGTGTTGAATGACCTACCTCTATAACAGTGGTAGGGGGATCAAAGTCTCTCTTTAGCAACCTTCCAGGGCAATCAATCGGGGGGGGGGGACCAGAGGCAAAAGTAGGCAGAGGAACATATGTGCCTCTTACCTTTTGTACAGTAGGCTGAAATTCAGTCACACAAATGCCAGAGGTTTCTATTCCCACCTGTGCTCCTCTGCCTGTGCTGTATCCAGGCAAACAAGAGGAATTATCACAGTTCAGGGACACATTCCAGCCAGGAAAAAAGCACTCAAGGAAAACATGGAGCAGAGCCTTAGGAAATGGGATGTGGCATTGGGAGAGTCCTTTGGACCAAACAGAGAGGTCTGGATGGCCACATTTGCCCCCCAGGCCAGAGGCTCCCCTCTATAATAACAAAATCAGTCCTCAGGCTTTAATCATGGATATGCTCAGTACTGTCCTCAAATACCTAGAAACTACCATCTGTTCTGGTTATCTTTTCTTCCATCTTATTCAACTGGCAGAGAGACATGGGAGCATATGGGTATAGACTCCTTCTCAACAAGGAGCTCTGACCTGGTATGGCGTTAAAATGGGAATGATGCATCCATGGTTTGGTGGAGATCATTAATTTTGGACCCTATCTGGTCTCAGTGCAGAATGTGGATATACAGTAATGCACTGTTATGCGGGGGTAGGGGGGGGGAGATGCTTAAAAGGGAGACAAAGACACTTGAATAACTGATTCAGCAAATCAGACTTAAAATGTATGGGAGGAACATTTTCTGTTAAGATTTGTCTGCTTCAATTGCCACTCACTAACTCTTATTAACAACTGAGAATTCAAATAGTAATGAAAAGCTCAAAATATGGCATGTAATAATATAGTTTGGCAGCTTCAGCATTTTTTAAAATAAAGCAAATGTCTAGATTTCACGGGTTGTAATACTGAATATGAGTTGGCAGTTTTGCTTAAAATGCAAGTCAGTGAAAGTCTGAGGCTGGACCCCAGTCCTTGCGGCAATATTCTCTTCCACATACAACTTTCCCTGTATTTCTAGCCCCTCCCGTATAATTAAAGTGCAATATCCCAAGGACAAAGAAAGACACTTAAAAACAATTTATAGACTATGCAAATTGCAATGGTGATGTATAGTGAGCAGCCCCCCACCTTTTACCACCAAAGCTGTCAGAATTTAAAGCACAGAACAGATCCTACAAGCAGGAACCAGTGCACTACTTCCAAACTGTGGCTCATGGAGAGGCCTGCCCTTGACCTTGCCTAGTTTTTGAACAACAAGGAAGTTCTCATGTTTTGATTCCCTGAAACAGACATAAATCTACCCTGATATGGCCAGCCCTACCATTAGATTGCATGAGATGGAGCTATCTCCAGCAAGAGATGCTGAGGAGGGGTAGCAAGATATTTGGAGGACAGACCAGTGTGTGCTACACAACCTGCCCCACGCTCTCTAAGACAGCCTACTGCCCTCAGGTGTGGTGGGGAAAGCTGTGCCATCGCCGGTGTGAAAGTAATCTACTGGCATCTGTGTGTGGCATTGTGGGGGGAGGGGGGCACCATATTTTCCTTTGCCTTGAGTAGCAAAATGTCTTGGCCCAGCCCTATGCCATCATCTTGCTTCCTTGCCACAATTTGACAAAACCAGGGTGTAAGTACATCTCACCCAGGATTATCAACATTGACCTAGAAAGACCTGTAAAGGAAGTGGGAGTATTGTCATGTAAATCAGACCAGGATTTTGCAAAATGAATCTCTGTTGGTGTGAACTGTGGTACCTTCACAATATTACTATCTTTAATGTAATCACCCATAACCTAGATGAATGACTGGATGTTTGAATGGATGTTAGCTCTGCTTAAACTGTTGGCAGCTATTGATGGCTATCTCAAGTAACCAGGACTTTGCTGCATGAAACCCATTGTCCACTTCTAGGTCCTCCTGGCTCTTCTGCTCCTTCCCTTCCTGCTCGACTTCTTCTCTGTGTATGCATGCACAATGAACAGAGCGAGGAGCAGCATTCCAAAGAACAGGGTAAGTGAGGGGGCAGAAGGAAGGAGAAGCCAGGAGAAGAAGGGACCCATGAGGGCCCAAGGACTGTTTAATACCCGAAACTGACACTGTATCATCCACACCTTCAAAAGAAGAACACTTGATGGTCTTTCTGTGCCAAAGCTCTCATTTTAAAGTGCAGCTTGGCCTACGGAGCTACGGCAAACTCATCCAAGCATTGGTGTGCTATTGTCTCTCCACACTAATGGCAAAAGCCACCTACTCACCGTTGTGGCATACTGAATATCCTTCCAGATGGAGGTCTCCCGAGAAAGATCCGAAGCCTCAAAGAGGTTCTCCAAGATCACCTCACCAATCATATCATGCCGAGAAAACCGGTCAAAGTCAAAGACGCTAAGATGAAGCTTCCTGTTGGTCAGCTCCTCATAGGGCACAGGAAACTGAAAGGACTCGTCAAAGGTGGGGTTGAGCGTTTTCCTGTGCACACGGGTTTGGAACTTGCACTTCCTGTCAGGCAAGAGGTAGATCTTGACGTAGGGGTCGGAACTGCCACAGAGGTCCTTGGCAGGCAAGTCAAAGGCCTTGAGAATCCGCACAATCAGGGTCTCGTTCTCATAGTCATATTTCAAAGCGAAATTTATTTTCCCACAGTTTTTTTCTGCCTCTTTTTTAGGGTCCTCAGAGTCCACGGATTTCTGCTTGTACAGCTCTGGCTTGATCCGGCCAATGCAAGTTGGCTGCTCTGCCGCAAGTGGTAGTTCTGTACCATAGTCCACACTGGAAACATGCATCTGCCTGGGCAGGTGCCTCTTGAAGGAAATGTGCCTGCAAGAGATAAGAAAAGGCTAGTGTGTTGTATGCTGGGAGAAGATTGTCCTGGGTATCTGGCCCCACTTAAGAGATAGGTTGCAAAATGGGGAAGGGCAGGGAGAATGTGGGAAATACGGTACTCTCCTGGGCCCAACTACACAACAAAGTTCTATCATACCACTTTAAACAGTCATGGCCATGACTTCATGCAAAGAATCTTGGGACCTGTAGTTTGTTAAGGGTGCCAAAAGTTATTAGGAGACACCCATTCCCCTTGTAAAGCTATAATTCCCAGAGTTCCCTGGGAAGAGGGTGTGATTGGGAATTTTAGCTCTCTGAGGGGGAAAAGGGTCTCACAACTCTCACAGAGTATTTTTTAAAGAAGAAAGGGAGTAGGAAGTTTTCACAACAGTGATGTTACAGGCAGTAGGCACCCCTGACTAAGCGGGTGAAACACGAGACTCCTAACTTCAGAGTCCCCACATTGGGCTAAATATTCCAGCATTGCAGGGGGTTGGAGTAGATGACCCTTGTGGTCTCTTCCAACTCAACAGTTTTACGATTCCTCTACGACTATAGTGCCGACCCCCTTGTAGAACTTCTGGAGGCTTTGTCATAAACGAACTGTGTAAGCGCAAGGGAAACTGGTTTCTCGATAGCTATCATGCAATGGAAAATAAAGAAGTGCATCTCATGCTGATCTGTGGGAGACTTTGAAAAGAACAACGTTATGGTCTTCCAGTTCTAGGAATTAAGATCCATACCAAACAGAACGCAAGGAGCAAGTTGCCATTCAGAAGCAAAATATTTGGAACAAGTGGTATCTTTGGCCTTGGAGACAACATAAAAGAATGTAATTATAGTTTGTGGGAATAGGAAACACAGCTACAAGGGGCTGGTTATACTAGCCAGAAAGGAATAGCAGCACCCCTGAGAGTTCTGAGGTCTGTTTAATATGCCCCACGGCTTGCTGTTTATGACTTACAGGAGAGGAGAAAGGAACTGCTGACCAGTGAGCCAGAGTTATATGCTGCCAGCTGGGATTGCCACATATTCCAAAACCATAAAGCATTACTGCCTTGGGGAAATACTGTGTTTAAGGACTATGGGTCAATAGGAGTTTGGGGGCCTGTTGTAAGCTACATTTTTGTGTGCTATGAGCCCTTAGAAACGGTTACCAAAGAATCCCTGCTATTGCTGAAAGCTTCCTATCTACTGGGTTGTTTTTTCCTGTTGCTGATACGTTTACATTGAAATAAGTAGAAAAGGGAAAGGAAAGGAAAATAGAAAGACAAGAAGAGAGGTTGGCACACACTGTCTAAGACTCAACTCAATTTCAGTTTCCCTCATTTTTCCAATTTCAAGTGTAGTTCTTCATATTTCCACTTCAATTTTCAGCAACAACAACTGAACACATTTTTGCAAAGCTATTCCCCTAAATATAATGCAGTTTTGTATGTTGCTTCCACTAATATATGCATTTTTATGCACAGTTTACCAAGACACATCCATTTTTTTTGTACACATTCCTTGGCTGGAGAACTGCATTGCAAAATTTAGAGAAGTGCCAACTTTGAAGGGTGGCTGTGCTTTTAGTTCACACGTTGTTTTGAAAAGTCCAAATTAGATAGGTACGCCTTTATATGTCAATGGAGCAAAAATTCTCTCCCATCCCTAGACCAAGAACCCTTCTCAGCTGCGGGAAGGGGAGTGCTTTAATATTCCCCGTATCAGAGAAGAAAGAAAAGAAAAGGCAATGACACAAAGCCAACCACATACTTATTTTGCTTTCCCAAGATATAGCTACCTGATTGAGGGAGGATGTATTTTGATCACACCTCTGCATAGTTCTCGTAACAGCAGGACTTCTTTTCTATAATTCATACGTTCCAGCTGAACTTTTCTAATTGAGTTTGCCCAAATTACGCTTATCTTCTTTCCCTCCTTCATAATGTCTTCTGTGAGTGATCTTAATGGATATGAATGACTACGGAGGTTTGAAACAAAGAGTGGCAGGCATACATCTGCCAATGGCACAAAACATCAACTCGATTGCTCAGTCTCTCTCACAACTTTTATGACAGGACAGTTTTAGACATGATTTGCAGCCTTCATGGCTATGCATGAGCAGAAACTGAGAACAGGCCATGGGCCAGCCTGAGCTCAGTGGCATCCTTATACTTCTCATAAAGGTATTTTGGGGTCTTTGTATGACCACCGGACCATATCTTTCTCATTGCTACTTGGGCTGGGAGTAATGCCCATCTTCATTAAAGCCACCCTGCTTTCTTTGGCAAGTTGTACCAGATACTTTTGTAGCAGGTTGCAATTCGTTTGTTGTTGCATTTATCTCTCTCTTGGCCCAAGGAGATCAGAGCATCATCAGGATCATTGCAGCCCTACCGCTATCTCACCATAGTGCAAGAGGAAAGCTCCCTGCCTCAAGGAGCTTACGATCTAACACTCAACACAGAAGGAAGAAGAGAATAAGGAGATGGTTGTAGAGTCCAGGGGTAAGATAGCCTTCTCATGACTCAGCTGAGAGGCAGCAGCTTGACCAAGGACATCTGGAGAGCTTTAAAGCTGAGCAAGGATTAGAGCTGGAGTTCCCCAAAAGTCAGTCCTCACACACTCTAGCCACTATAATACCACTGTACTCAGCAGGCTAGAGGACATGCAAGGTACTCAATTTACATTGCATATATTCTTACTATCAGAACTCCATTGCAGTGAGTGAAAATGGCTACCCATTTGTCATTGTGTAGTTAATGGTTCATATTCAGCGGGGAAACACTTCATTAAAACACTCATTAACACAGCTAAGGCACACAATTAGTTTAAGTGAAATGAGCACCCAGGAAGCAAACATGTTCTCTTGAGACTAAGGTGATTGACCTGGAGAGGCTGAGAAAAGCAGAAGACACTGTAGAGATCTCCAGTTCTTATGACAGCAAGGAAAGGTCTTCTGGCAGGAGGGCATCATACCAAGGCAATTAGAACACAGTTACTTGGAAAGACCCATCTCCTGAGAGATGCATCTATATCCTCTGGGGCCTTGCTGTAGTAATTCAGGTATCTGTAACATTTTAATTGGACTAATACTGATATTACCTAATGTGGATTTTGGATTTGGCAGAAGTGTTTGTGGCTTTCTTCTTCAGAATAAATATTTCTAAGGGGAGGGGAACAAGAGAGACATTTAAAAATTACAAATGGTCAGGAAAGAGTAAATGGACTGATTTTTCTCTTTCTCTCATAATGTTATAAACTGGGCATTATCCAGTAACATCGGTTGGCCGTAGTTTCAGAACAGACAAATGAAACATTTGTTTCATACAATACATAATTAACTATGCCATTTTCAACCAAGAGATCAGGTAGTTCTATCATGATGGCAAAATAGAACTTTCGTATTCAGAGGCAATGTATCGCCAAAGCCCATTTGTTAGAAGGCTGGCAGAAGAAAAGGACTGTTGCCTTCACACTTCCTTATAGGCTTCCCAGAAGCTAAATGCTGGACTAGCAGTGGTCTTGTGGAAGGAGAAGGCAGGGGAGCACAGTTCTGGGACCTTTTATAGAGCAGGAGGAATGGGATCAACTGAGATGGTATGATCAGGAGAAACTAAATTTGTTTGTGACACATTAGAAGCAGAATCATAGAACTGTAGAGTTGGAGGGGACCACAAGGGTCATCTAGTCCAACCCCCTGCAATGCAAGGATCTTTTGCTCAACGTGGGTCTTGAACTCATGATCCTGAGATTAAGAGTCTCATGCTGAACTTTCCCAGTCAAAGAATGAGAAAAATAAGCAGAGGATGGGTACTTCTTTCCCTTTTTTTGGAAGGCATTCCTACTTCATGTCAGCAGTTTAAATGGTAACACTTCTTCGCAAGATTGCTTGAACTAATTAAAAGCTTAAATGTTGCATTTCAGCTGACTGAAAATCTTGTGAAAGCTCAGTGTGTTTAAAAATCTATACAGTCATAAGCACCACTAAGTTCAATGGAGCTTACTCCCAGATACGTATATCCATATCCTATTATGCCAAAGATATAACTTTGGGACGGTGCATTTTGGGATGGTGGGTAGCAGGGTCCCCACAGTGAGATATTCAGGCATTTGGAACATATGTTAAGTATTTGTAACATGCTGGTCCTAATAAACTGGACAATATGCTATGTGCTGCTGCTCCATGTGTGTGTGTGTGTGTGTGTGTGTGTGTGTGTGTTTCAGTGGATCCAAAGAGCTACTTGCATTTTTTACTCCTTTAGCAATTGGGCCTGTCACAATGAGTTCCTGCATTTTTGTATAGTTGTGAATTTTCTTGATTTTACTGCTTTATCTTTTGTAACCCACTCTGAAGGTTTTTGCAAACCAGGGGTGTATAAATGTTATAAATAAGTAAATAAAATGCACCATCACGCTACTATAGGACTAGACAGACTCTTGCTCTGAATCTAGAAGGCTCTTATGTTCCTGTGCCTGAAAGCAAAGGAACTGAGCAAAACTGAGCAACTCCTGCCCTCTACGGCATGGTAGACCTTGTTCTGATCAACCATGATGCATGGTAAAACATGGATAAAGTCACCCACATCTTAGCTGAAAAGACTGCCTGTATTAGAAGAGATTCAGGTCAGTGGCCCATGGGTTACCAGGCTGTCTTCCACCTTCAGATCCTTGCAGACCCTGCCTTCCTTTGTCATGGATCCTCATGCACGGTCAGCCTTCCATCTGAGGCTACAATGGCCCTGAGGCAGCGGCTGATCTTGAACACTGAGATGCAGCTCCCTCGAAGCCAGTGCAGTGAGTGATATGTCAATTCCGTTTATCTAATTATTCCTGCTTTGAGCCACATAAGCAAGAAAGAGAGGAAAAGGCTGTAATTCTATCTGACAGTGCGCCATGTCACTGATATGTCTCCCTGCCTCCCTGAGTCCTAACAAAATTAAAGTGGCCACAAGCATATTGACAGCTTGACACAATGAGGTCAAGTCACCGTAACAGGGTTTGAATCTTTTGGCTAAGATCAAGGGCCCACAGGGAGACTGGGGAAATATGTCAGCTGGTTCACTTTCAACTCAACCTTCGGCAGAGACCAGCATGTAGTCGGGGGAGTATCCTGCAGCTCCAGGAGGTGTATGCCAGCCAAAGGTTTAGCGTAATATCCCTTTAGTGCAATTGCTCAATGATGTACAAGTGTCAAGAACATATTTAGAAAGAAGAGAATTGCTGCCAACATCTTGAGGAGTGGCGGCCCATTGCATCAAACATAAACGAGAGCCATCTTCAGATGTGGGTGGGCTTGAAGAGAGGAGGGGTCAGGGTGCACATGCAAGCCCAGCTCCACAAATCTTCATGTAATCAAGTTTAACCCTATGTAATAAGGTTCCTGGTCATGAGGAGGATTCTGACTGCATTTCGAATCCATCTTCAAATCTAGTCCACAGTCCAAGGGCCTGAAGCAATGTTGCCCCACCTCCCAAAATATTTCTGCTTCTCCTCAAGCGCACCAATTTTGTGAATGGCAACAAAAAGGAAGAAATTCAGGGATAGGCAGAGATGTTACTTATGGGAAGAAAGATATGAGTGCAATAGCACTCTATCGTTCATAACTCTCTGCAAGTGGTATTCAGAGGTATTCTGCCTCTGGGTTGTATCTGGGTGGTGCTCCAGATTTTTGTTGCTCTTTTGTTCTTGTTTAACAGAGACAATAAAGTTTGTCTCCAGTCTGCACGCCATTGTGTCCTCTAAGCCATGACATGACAATTACTCAAACAAATCTAATTACTCTAGAACACCTTGATCAATATACACTCCTTGATGGAAACAAAAAAGGATGGGGGAGGGAGAGAACAAATAAACCCAAAACATAAGCTTTCTTTTGAGCATACACAGTGAGCAATGAGGAAGCTTTTCACTTCATTGCAGGGGATACGCCTCTGGTTTGAGGCTGTGGGAACTGATTTGAATGGACAAGTAATAGCAGGAGAAAACAGGACATGGCATGGCGGTGACCTTCATCAGCACTCCCTTCTCCTCATGGAGAGTTTTCCCATCTTCAGCACCTCTGTAAAATGACCCATATTGTCTGATCCAACAGATGGCAATTCAAGGGATGCTCTGCACTCACCTGGTGGACGATGCAGGCTCTGTTGTCTGTCTCTGCATCCGTGTGCGTCTCATAAGGTGATCCTTCATGGACATCTGGACTTCTGCGGGAATATCCGGTGACGTGTGACTAATTTTCACAGCTGCCTCCAAGAAGCCCAGAGTCCCTGTGTCCTTTAGCTTGTCAGCCATGTTCTCTTTGTCGTGTTCCGCTGCGTTCTGGGAGGCGGGGGTGTTAGTCGAAATGGCCTTGTTCCTCCAGGGCACCCAGAACAGCTTCCAAAACAGAAAGAGAAAAACTGCCACCAGGGCCAGTCCACATACAATAACTATCACTGCAAGGAGGCTGATGGAGAGCTCTAGAGGTGGGGAAAAGGCAACAGTGACAAACAGGGGCAGAAAGGATCGGAGAAGAGATGTGGAAGAATGGGTGGGAAAGCAGGAAAGGAGGGAGGTAAGAGAGAAAAGAAAAGTCTGTGAGACACCTGAAAGAACAAGGACAGGTACATTCTGAAATAGTGTCTGTTCCCTTTCATATGCTCTGCTCATGAAAAGAAAGCGTAACAAGGTACCTCAGTGAAACACTTCTCCAGAATAGACATTCTTACCTATCCACACACCCCAAACCCTTCTGTTTCTGTTGGAATGTTGTGATTTCCTAAAACTATTTCATTACAGTTCTTGTGATGGTCTTGTTTGATATAAGCATTATTATTTCGGGAGGCTCAACTGAAATGGCCACTCAAATCACACACCAACATTGTTTCTCCTCTGATCGACAACTTCTGGCAATTCTTAAAATGTTAAGAGATCTAACTACAGGACAGACAGCACTAATGATTAGGTTTTCAAAATGTCTTGTGCCAGTGGGGCATCCTATTGGGAATGGATGCTTCCTCACAGACCTATTGACTATTCATTCCCAGTCAGGGTCTGATCATGTGAGCTGGTGCCCTGGAAAGGATTCATGTCCGCTGCTGACTGTATTGGGACTGGCTGGGAAAGGAACAGATCCCAACTCTACTTATTATGGTCCCAGTCACAGTGCTGCCCTCCCCCAGGCCGTGGTTAAATAAGGGGTGATAAGATGGATTCCGGCAAACAACCATCTGGATTAAAAATGGCCATAGCTTTATTGATTACAAATACAGGTGGAACTTCGGCTCAGGCATTGGGTGTAAATGCATTCCACCCTTCTTCCAGAGGGCTGGAACAATTTCAGGGTAATGTCAAGGATTATGCCCCCCCCCCCGAGTTGGGTCCATATCAGGGGAAGGAAACATCTGACACATGAGGCAAGTTAGACCAGACCAATTAGATCAGTGCAGTCATTTTTAGCTGGCCATGCCCACTTGTCTGCCACCTGACATTAGAAAAAAATACCGAAATTCCTAGAAAGCTGATTTCAGTAGCCACCACTACACTCTTCAGCTTCTGAGGCATCATAGCATTCACTTGGCCATAGCTGATTAAAAATAGCACCTGGAACTTCTTAATCCTAGAAAACATGTCACTTGACACAGCCCGTAAGCAGATGCCTTTGTACTGCTCTGAAACAGGGAAGGCTTGTAATATTGCAAAAGCAAATATTAATACAGTTCTGTACAACTATGTCAGGTACAAAGAGTATAACACTGTTAGGCAATCTTTGGAAAACACACAGCCATTGTGCTTACGCTAACATAACTGAAACAGAGGGGGTAAGTAGAGTTTAGGTCTCTATATCTTAGCTGTCTCTTGTAATCCACCTTGATCTTATAAGAAAGGGCAGGATGGAAATTTTAGTGATAGAATTCTGAACTTGGAAACAACAAAATCAACATGTCAAATAGGTGCTGGAAACAAGATGCCTCCATACGGAATTTTTTATTATTACACTGGGCAACAATTTTTTACTTTTTGAATGTTGTCTAGGTTTCTACAACTGATTTAGGGTATTTTTGCACTGCTGAATCAGGAAATGGCATCCGTTTCTCTCCATCAGGTCAGGTTTTTGTGCTATGTTGATTTGAAAAAAATCAGATCTTGTGACAAAATCAATTACATTTTTGTGGCATTATCAGCTGCTTTTTGTCAACACATATCATCCTAAATATGTTTTTAAGAGAAAAAATGTTTTTCCAACAACATATATTGATTACCTGATAGAAACATCGATTACTGTAAACTGAATGGTGGGCATTGATAAAGGTAAGTACATGTAAATTGCATGTTGCTTCACCATTTTTCAAACTTCAGGGCTTGAACTTCCGTTTCTTGGAACTCCTGGGATGCTCAGCAGCAGGGAGGTCTCTCTTCAGAGTCCTACAGTAGTCAGCCATCATGACTGCGTCCCAGCGACCCTGATACCTGGTCTCCATCTCTTTCATGTCCTGATGGAATCTCTCCCCCTGCTCATCACTCATTGAACCCAGGTTCTCAGGAAACCGGTCCATATGTGAAAATAGGTAGTGCATCTTGATGCTCATGTTGCAGCCCAGGTTTCTGAAAGCAGTCAGCATTTTGTTGACAAGTTCTGTGTAGTTTCTGGCCTTATTGTTGCCAAAAAAGTTATTCACTGCCAGAACAAATGCCTTCCATGCTTCCAGTTCCACTTTGTTCAATGAGTTTCCAAACTCTGGATCTCTGATGAGCTGACGGATCTGAGGACCGTCAAAGATGCCAGCTTTCAACTTCTCCATGGTCAATCCTGGAAAAGCCTGGCACAAGTAAGTGAAGCAGTCACCATCCTTGTCCAGAGCCTTGATGAATTGCTTGATTAAGCCGAGCTTGATGTGCAGCGGTGGGAAGAGTATTCTGTCTCTGTCCACCAGAGGGTCGTTGATGACGTTTTGCAAGGCACCAATTCCTCCTGCACAGGCCAGTCCTTCTTCGTGTAATGCTGAACACGGTCCCTACTATCCCACATGCACAGAAAACATGGGTACTTGGTGAAGCCAGACTGTTGTCCCAACAAAAAGTTCACCATCTTCAGGTCAACACAAATGAACCACTTATGCTGATCATAACCAATTTTCTCCAGCACATATTTCACCCCTTCATAGTTCTCCTTCAGTGTACTCGAGTGAGCCAGGGGTTTTGATCCCCCAACTTTATGCTTTGCCGCACCAATTTATGGAAGATTTCGAGGTTTTATGGCTTCAAACTGATCACTTTTCGACATAATCACCCAGAACTATCGAACCTGAATACTTCTTGTCATTAAAATAATCATTTCCAATCAAAACAATTATTCGACATGGCATTTTACCCCCACCAACTTCTTCTAAAATGCTCCACACAAGCGTACATGTGAATAAAAATGTAAAAAAACGACATGTGGCCATAACTCAAAAACTTGACCTGACTGAGCAAAACCAATGTGATTTTTGGATTCAGCGCATCAGATTCGTCCTAAATCAGCTGAAAAAACGCAGACAACAAATTTGTTGTTGACCGGTGTTATTATTTAATTGCTGAAGTACCTCTTGGAGAAGAAATAATGAGGGGAACGTTGTCATTGAAAGATTAGCACTTTGACACCAAATAGTGTTTTTTATTTTCTAAAAAGTAGTGATGATGATGATGATGATGATGCAGTTTTTAAAGCTGAAGCAAAGTGGATTTTTCTGTGTTAGAAAATGTTGGTGAAATCTGGAAAAAAACCATTCCTCTATGCAAAAAAGCAAATATACTGTTGGAAGTGGCTGGCTTCCTCCCAGGAGAGCACATGGTTTGCAGGTCCCAGGTCCCAAGTTCAATCAAGACAGTGTAAACGATTCTAAGTTAGATCCAAAGTGTAGGTCAGGTTCCTCTGTGCACATGCTTCCTAAATTCCTATGCAATCTGAAGTTACCTGGCATGCAGCAACATCAAGGAAATGGATTGGGGCAATAATACAAGGAAATACAGCCATATTAGCTGGCAAAAGCCAGTTCTCCGGGCCAATCCCACTACTGGACAATGCAAAGCAGTTGTTTCAAATGGAATTTTCTGGGTATCATTAAGGTTAGGCAAATGTCAGTTATTTAAGTTATGATATTTTTCCTCTCAGGAGGCACCATTTTGCATTTCCACTGGATAAGCCAAAATATCTTGGGCCAGTTCTGAGGTCTGGGCCACACATGCCACAGAATGAAGCACAAATGGAATTGTGGATGGAATTGAATTCCCGCTCCATCCATAGGTAAATTCAGACGGCAGGTGGGGAACACCACTTCTTTAAAACAAGACATGGAGGAATATTCCCCCATGGAGTTTTCTATTTTAAACAAAAGCTCTCTGCAAATAGATAAAACTACCACACCAGCCATTTGCTCAGAATTTTCCATCTTCTTTCTTTATTTCGAAAGGTATTCTAACCATAGGGGACGCGGGTGGCGCTGTGGGTTAAACCACAGAGCCTAGGACTTGCCAATCAGAAGGTTGGCGGTTCGAATCCCCGTGACGGGGTTTGCTCCCGTTGCTCGGTCCCAGCTCCTGCCCACCTAGCAGTTCGAAAGCACGTCAAAGTGCAAGTAGATAAATAGGTATCGCTCTGGCAGGAAGGTAAACGGCATTTCCGTGCACTGCTCTGGTTCGCCAGAAGTGGCTAGTCATGCTGGCCACATGACCCGGAAGCTGTATGCCGGCTCCCTCGGCCAATAAAGTGAGATGAGCACCGCAACCCCAGAGTCAGTCACGACCGGACCTAATGGTTGGGGTCCCTTTACCTTTACCTTTATTCTAACCATAACTGTCTAAAAATCACAACCTTCTCTTGTCAGCTGAATGCAATACCACAGCTATTTTCTGACTTACACCTGATGCTTGGTTCCTGGTAAATGTGGCTTTTAATTAATTACCAACCTTCCTTCTGCAGGAGACTCAGTCAACCAGCATGAATCTTACCACACCTAAGTTTTATTTGTTTTGGGATATTTATAAACCACCCTGGGGAGGCTGATTACCCAATGAAGGGTAACATACCCATTTTAGAAATTGATTCATTAACTAGAAGCCAATGCACAGTGCGACCCTTACAAACCCTCTACACCCAGGGTTAATCAATTTATGGCTCTAGGCAGATTCTCCCGAAGGACTCTGAGCTATCTGTTCACACATAGCCATATGGTAATGGTAGTAAAGAAGCACTTTTAGGAGTATAATGATCTGCTGTATGAGGAAGATATTTTTCCTTAATTTACTTATGTCTCGAACTATAAATATGGATGATCTTACATCTGTTTGCAAGGTGCCTGGGTCTTATTCTTTTAAACAGCTTCCTTGTGCACTGAAAAGTGCTCCATCCTCCTCAGAACAGCAATTTAAAAAGGAACCACTCCAAATCTATCCTTATTAGATAGCTGAGCCTGTATCAGACTCTCTAGGCAGCTCACAT